AGAGATTTCTATCGTTACTATCGTCTGTACAGTGTTATATATAAATTAGGTACTGTACATATAATTATATATTAATTATATATAAATTAGGTACTGTATATATAATTATATATTAACTTAATTTATTGTAACTTTATTATAATTATATATATATACTTTCCGTTGTCCAGCACCATGCTACGGAGAGTTTAGGCGAGTAAGTTGAGTTTACTATCGTCTGTACAGTATGTAAATTAGGCACCGTAAGTCTAATACAGTACTGTACTTTTATACATTTCTTGTGAAAGAAACACTTCTTATTCAACGTCCATAAAAATTATTTATATTAATGATGTCTCCAAAGTTCAACAAAGTTTTCGCAGAAAAATAACATATCAAAAATTGCGGCCGCGGTTTGGTGCGTTGCTCCGCGACGAAAACAAGCTTGAGCAATGGCGATGTCGAATGGTGCACATTTGGTAAGTAATCCTACAATTTTTTGTTTATAGCATAGTTTATATGGATTATTCCCAAAAAATATATATGTATTTTGGAAATGTTGAGTCGAATTAGTCTAGAATCGATTAATTTTATGGAAGAAAACCTTTCAAACAGCTGTAGTCCGTAAACTTCACACGTGTCGGGCTGTGATTGGAAGGACTCGTAAGAAATCGATTCATAAAGAACGGAGCGTATCTACCGTGTTATAGGAGGGTCGACTGTACTCTCCATTGTGAGACATATAAATATTGGACTTTCCCATTCTATTACTCCCATCATTATTCTAATTATTCAAAAAACAACAATCCTAAAACATTTACAAAAACTTCTTAAACCTTACCGTAATGATATACTTTCCACTACGATCAAATAATACACAATAAACAGATGAAAGATGACCCAAAAGACGACGATACATTTGTTTCCTTGAATAAAGCCGATATGGAAAGGAATGCATTCGACTGGATGGACCACTAATTTCTCTAGCCACAAGTACTTGAGCTGTTAATAGAATTTAAAATAATTGTATATTCACTTAGTATTATAACATTTTAGTTCAAAATCTTATTTATATTTAATTAATATACATTTATAAAATTTATTTTAAAAAATGAATAGGAGAAAGGGCTTAGATTACAAACATCTATCTTTTCTAAATCTCATTATCTTAATTCTGTTTTTACTACATTTTAAATTCCCTAAAATTCTATTTTTCATTCTTTTGATTATAATATTCATCTAAATGTCTAAATTATTTGAATATTAAAATTGAATTTATTAATTATTTCAGACAGTTTAAATAGCATTTAAATCCTAACTTCATTTATTTTTAACATTTAAATGTCCTTCAAGCCTGTCCAAACACATCTAGCACTGATATATATGAATGAAATGTAATTTAACTGGTTTTCACGAATCCAGTTATTTTAGTTCATGAGCACTATCACAGGTGTTATATAGTTCATAATCATTCATAATTAGAAATGATGTACCTCAAATTAGTTTCACTTTATTATAACCTATATTACTAATACTTTTTCATAATTTATTTTTCATTTGATTGAACATTTATTTATAATAATTTTAAATAAAAAAATTCTGAAATTGGTTATGTTTTTTTCCCAAATTTGACCTAAAAGTTAATTTATTTCTATTTATTTATTTATGCATTTCAAAAATTCCCTTTATTAGCAGTTTTTAAATTTAACCATTAGAAGTCAGATTTCTTTGCAAGTAGTTTCATGTTATAATTTATTGTGTTTAAAAAGTTATTAAATTTTTGTAAAATTTCTGTACAATTTTTATTTAATTATTTATTTACATGCAATTAAAAAATTTAGGCTAATGAATAATTTTAAAAGGATTTTACTAGAAGGTCATATATTTTTGATGATAATATCAGATTATATTTTTTTAGTAGTCCTTCAAATTTAATATATAAATTTAAATTCAATATTATAATATATATTGAAATGTTTTCCATTAAATACTTCTTTTTAATTATAATTTTCATAGCAATTTTTTCATTATTTATTTTCTCTTATAGTCAAAGTGCTGCATAAATAATTTTTACTAGATAAGTATACATTCTTATGTGCACATTCTAACAGCATGCACATAAAAATTAAATGTTGATAGAATACAAATTTCTTTATAATTACAAAATTATTATTATTATTCATAATAATGAAATTTATGATAATAAAATGTTATCATTTCTCACAGCATATTACTGTACTCATTACAATTTAACTCATCCAACATGTCTGACAACTTCAACCTGTTACCCCACTAACCTCAACAGGACCTGAATATATTTAACAATTTTATTAAATGATAAAGCAGAAAACATAATTTTTATGTTTAAATGTTAAAACTGCCAGAATATTTGGAATGTATTTAATATTAATAAAGAGTAAATATAATTTTTCTCATAATGATAGGAAATTATAAATATTTTAAAATATAAGTTTAACATTTTACTAATTCATTTTCAATTTGTTAGATACATAGTTTAAATGTAAGTACATTTATTTATTAAAATTTAGACAAAATGTTCTTTAAAATCCATTAAAATTATATAATTATGTTTTCTCTGTGTAACTTTAAAAGGTTAGCAGTAAAAAAAAAAAAATACTAACTATCAAATATATAACAAATTTAATAGATTTCTTTCTTATAAATACTCACTAATATTAGGAGGATAATTATGTAAAACTTCTTTTGAGGGAAATGGTGGATATCCATGACGACGAACAATAAGACTTGCTGAAGTAAATTTTGGTCTTAATAATTCTGAAATATAAAAATATATAAAATACATAAATAAACTAGTACAAATCCCATTATCTCATCATATAATTTAATTCATATACAGTGGTGCCTCGTATAATGTACGCTTCGAATAACGGATGCTGCGAATAACGGACTTTCTGTTTGGCCATTACGTGACTCGAGCAACGAACTGGTTGCAGACAACGGACTTTCCGTTCGGCAGTTACGTGAGGCGACCAATGGACTTTCTACGAACAAGTGCGAATGATGTTTCCATGCTTTTGCCGTTGCCAATGACAATATGTTATTTTTATAATATATTAGTATTATTAGAATATATTATCAGTATATCTGAAGTACAGAGTGTTATGATTAGGCTTGCTCCCTTGTTTATTAGGTACATCAACACAGTGCAGGGTATTTACATTTATTCAAGTGTTATGCAAATCATGGCTTCTAAAAAAACAGAAAAGTGATTTCAATTGAAACAATGCTAGAAATCATCAGAAGGAGTGAAAGTTGACAAAAAATTCCTTGTCGAATGGGGAGAGGTTCAGGAGTTTACCAACACTCATTATCCAAACAGAGCTGAGACCAACAGGATCAATGATCTCTACAATGACACTCTTGCCTCTCATTTCCAACAGGTGTTGAAGAAGAGAGAGAAACAGACCACATTGGACATGTTTTTCAAGAAGCCAGCAGGGAAAAAACAAAGAATGGAACAAGAGGAGTTGACCCTGCAAGCTCCGGTAGACTCTCCTGAATCTGAATCCGATTAAAAAACAATAAAAAAGAAGACCCGCTGCAATGTGTAAAAAGTCTGTATCTGTATGACTATGTGAAGAAAGTGGTCCTCCACCTCCTCCCCCAACATCTGACTACCCGGCATAATTGGTGACTGCTCCATTTTCATTTTTTATGGTACAGTATGGTTATTTTATGCTGCGAAACGAATTATATGTTTTAACGTGTATTTCTATGGGAAAATGCGTTTCGTATAACGGACTATTCACTTAACGGACGTGCACCTGGAACAAATTGAGTACGTTATACGAGGAACCACTGTATATTACAAATATTTAGAATCAATCTACAAAATTTCATTGATTAAAAATTTCTTATATTATTTTGAACAACAATCTCTATTTATTATTCTAGTATAGGAAATAATTTCCTAATGGATGGAGCACAATTTTCAATTATTATTATTCAATCTATATGCAACACTTTACTTTCACTCTTACACTTTCCATCCAGGGCGATCATGTGGCAGTGGTGAGGGATGGATATATCCATTAAATTCTTTTGGGGATATTGCCAAAAACTACCATGAAAAAAATTCACATAAAAAATGAATTATGTAACAATAAAAAAAAAGATTTTTCTTTACTAGACATAACTGTTTACAAAATCTTTTTCCAAAATGGTAATGAGAAAAAAATGCGTGGAAAAATACTTCAAAAATTTTCCACATTTATTCTCCACTACTTTGGGGTAGCACCATACCTCACTATCCCACTGCTGAAAGATTAAAATAGTATAATTTTACCATATTTTCATGGAATGACTAGCATATTGATCTATCGGGGAGACCATGAAATCAGATATTTCCATATGGTAAAAACTAACATGCTGGTTTATCCCGAGAAAATGTCAGCATGCCAGTTTAAGTGAAGTTATAGATCCTTCTCTAGAGGATGCATTAAAACAAATAAACAAGTTACATCACATAAAAATAAAGAAGCTTTTATTCTAAAACTGTGAAACTGTCAGCATTACACCAAAAACTATGATTATACATTTAATTTCTTCATTTTGTCTTCTTTCTAACAATGTAAAATACTCTTGGAATGCCAAAAGTGCTTTTTTTATGTGTATTTCATTGTTATTTGATTCAAAAACCCAAAAATAACATATTAAATTTTATAAACTGCAGTAAATTATCTTGACTTATACACCAATTAACATCTGCTTTGTAGGAGATGTAATTTGAGAGAAAGCTGTTATTTTTAAGGTCAGAGTAGATCATCAGTGCAACCCACACTGACTAACTTCTAATACTACTAATGTCAATAAGCTGTTAATTCTTTTATTGCACTGTAAACAAAAACTCTCTTCCTGATTTTGTCAGTCAAATTATATTATTATTTTATTGTAATCAAAAGAATGTTTTCTTTAACATTTAATTAACAACTAATTTTGTTACATCCAATTAATTTTATTTTTAGTCGCAGTTTAACCAGCATATCAGGTATCCCCGGGAATTCCAGCATGCTAATCTTCCCCAGTTTTATGTGACATACCAGTCATTCCACAAAAATATGATATATAAAAACTCAACACAATTACAAAAATATGCAAGAACTTTCAACAGGAAACATTTGTCTTCTTTGGGCATACATATTTGAATTTTGACTATGTATGTGTGAAGATAACTGAATTGTTTCCTGTCAAAATCACTTGTATGTTTTTGTAATGGTATTAAGTTTTTATTAAAAATATACTATTTTAACATCAGAATTCAGTGTTTCTTTCAATTAACATCTCTGATGTAAAGTGCTACTTGCTCTTTGTTTTAAGTAAAGTAAGATGTCAGAATGAGAAAACTGTGGAATAACCAAAATGCATTTGTCATACTAAAATTTCATTCCACTGAAATATAGTCAAAATGCCAGAATGTTGAAAAGTTATTTGAAAATAAAAAATTTTTATACCCTGAAGGCAAAAAATCTTAAAAAATTAGTTTTCCAGAACAGCAATTTAAAGTAAATTTTACTCTTTTAAAATTCTATAAAAAAAATCACAATGAACTGACAATTTATTTTTGATTCTCTTATCACATGGTTACTAAGAGACATCATCATCAGTTCAGCTAAACTCACAACTAAATGGCCAGCTTATGAGGCAAAAGATCCAATATATCCCAGTCAACCCACCCCTGAAAAATTCTCAACCAATTTAGACTTGTAACCAGATTCACAGGACAGCAAGAGCTGGCTGACCTTTTCTAGCACAACTCTCTGGCTGTTTACATTCATAACTGAAAATGTATTATCAGTATTGTCTTAAACAAATAGCTGATGCAAATTTTTGTTTTTGTATGAATTCTGAGGTTCCACTGTTGCTTCTGAAGTGGCGTTGAAGTTGGTAGTGGTGGAGTAACGACATTTCTTGTTATTTTTAAAGCAAATAACAGACCCGCTGCAATGTGTAAAAAGTCTGTATCTGTATGACTATGTGAAGAAAGTGTTCCTCCACCTCCTCCCCCCAACATCTGACTACCCAGCATAATTGGTGACTGTTCCATTTTCATTTTTTATGGTACAGTATGGTTATTTTATGCTGCAAAACGAATTATATGTTTTATGTACTATGTCAAAACATAGTAGTAAATCTTGCAGTGGAGAAAAATGCAAGAAATGTCACTCTATTACCATGGAAACTAAACTGGACATTATAAAACTAAGTGCTTTAGATGGAAAAAACTGTTTGAAACACCTGCTACTAAGCAGTAGCAAATGGGTAAATGAGCATAATGTATTCTATTAAGTACATCAAAGTATAAATACTAACAGTAAATGGTTACTATGTACACAAATGTACTTTATAGGTTAGTTTTTGACTTACGACATAACCTCGAGAACCTAACCAGTTCGTAATTAGGGGAGCACCTGTATATCTATAAATAAAACTTATTAAAACACAAGTCTGATGTACATGTATTATAATGTACAACATAATGAAATAAACATAAATAAATACATGAAAGCAAAAATTTGAAATTATATTAGTAATAGAGAAATATTATTATATAGAAAATTTAAATTCAAACACTTAAAATACATAGTAAAGTCAATGTGATAATAAAAAGTAAAAATTACATTAAGTATATGAATATAACTTAAAAAGAATTCAAAGTATTTTGATTTCCTTTACCTTCTTTTGATCTAAGAAGTGACTGATATCCAGCACTAAGTAATGACTTCACACCAGTTATATTAGATGTAACTTCTTTATCTAGTATGGGTCCAATTCTAGCACAAATTTTAAGTAAATAGTCATTTGCTATATGAGGACAACTTTCATCCTGAAAACGTACAAATAATAGTTTTTCATTAAAAACTGTTAAAATGCTACTGAATTAAAACATTTTTATTTAGATCTTACTAAGTAATTAAATAAACACACAAATATCCTAATGTTCACACAAAATTCTATCAGAAAAAATTATTTTGGTGCTGGATAGGATCCAACACAAAAAAGGATCCTACCTGAATCCAAAACATTTTACAAATATTAATACACAAAGAACAAATTAATTTTAATTATTATACCAAGACTTCCATTTAAATTATATATATGTATAACATCTTACAAAATATTCTGTCTTTTCTTATTATAGGTTAAATTAGTAACATCAATAATTCTTAATTATGATATTCTCATAAACTTAATGAAAAGAATAAAAATTTTTGTCAGTATAAATCTTATTATTTTGTAAAATTGCTTTATAGAATAAATGTGGGTTGTCTGGAACAAGCAATAAACTTCCTAAGCTTTATAATTTTGCATTTGCTTAAAAAAACACTGTGTATTAAATTTCACAAATATAAAATTATAATGAATATTAAATATTGACAATTTTCAACATAACTAATGCAAACAACATTAAATTCCTCAAATAATAATAACTTCCAAATTATATGTACCGTGTTTCCCCGAAAATAAGACAGTGTCTTATATTAATTTTTGCTCTAAAAAGTGCGCTAGGTCTTATTTTAAGGGAATGTCTTATTTTTTCCAGGAAGAAGAATTCACATTTATTATTGAACAAAAAAATTTCCAAGTCGAACTTAGACGAGAGTGACGTATATCCGGGGTGTCGAACTGTCGCCTTTTTATAGTGTCAACATCGGACTCGATGACCAATTAGTGCTTACTGAACCGTAGCACTATGCAAATGTCATGTGGCGTGATTCCCGGCCGACCAATTAGCCATCACCAGCCGTAACGTTATGCAAATCTGTGATTCCCAAGCCATAGTCTT